TGTGGTTAAAAAAAAAATACATATGGTTCAGAACGGATTAACCATATTTACATTGAACCTTATGGAAAAATTTGATTCGGGCCGCGCCCAATTCAGGCCGCGACCAGAGTCGTGGAACAAATTAAGTTCGTGAACCGAGGTACCACTGTACTGAATTATTTTTGAGCTGCAGAAACTCTGTTATTATAAGACGTAGTTTAAGTTTAGGGATCCTGGTTGTTGAATTATAACTATGTCCATTTCCAAATTCCAAACAACAATGTGTTGTACCCTGTCCCACTAACTTAATTGAAAGGATTAAAGTAGGGCAAGTTACATTGTATTATATTTTCATACAGGACCTTCAAATTTAAAGCAGGGTTATTATCTAATATGGGTGGAAAGAAGTGAAGTCAAATTATTAAAAATGGAATGTTTCCATTCTAACTTAATCCTGAAGTATTATGACACAATAAGCAAGTAATCTAAACATGTTTGTAGGACATTCAGATGGAGGAGAAAAAAAACCCTCCACCGTAATTTCTAATTTAGAAATCAAAGACTCTCAGTAGATTCTTCATGACTTTACCAGGCAAAGAAACAACAATTATTCCATATTATCTTACTTAACTGTTTTTTGTGATAAGTAAAAAGTTGGAAAATACTATTTATCTTCTGTCTATAAAAGACAGATGCTCCACCTGAATGTCTGAATCCATATAATAGTCTAGCAACAAGAAAAAATAATTTCATTATAAACTCTTGAAGCATCTTTTTTTTTCTTTTCAAAGGAGTACTAATAAAAGAGCATAGCTAGTCAATATCAGGTTAATGTTTCAAATTTACAGGAAAACCTGGCTAAGAAATAAGCAGAAGGGCAGATCTGAATCTCAGAAGGCAGATCTAGACAAAGTCAGATTGAGATGATTGGCCAAGATGTGGAGTTACCAGAAGCAGGACAATACACAATTGGGAAGCTGATTTTTCTAGTGCCTTGGAAATGTAACTAGAGACATATGACAGTAACTAGAGACATATGACACAGTTGTGCTGTAAAGACTAATTGCTGACAGTACCATTTATATATATCCTATTAATAGCACTGCAGGACATTCACAGACTACATGTTCAAACAAATATTGGCGGCAACTATTTCAGAACCCTTTATTTAAGAGCATTAAACAGTTCTCCAAAGCAAAGCTAAACATCTTTTTAAAATAGATTACTTCATAAAAGCAAAATATTGTTAGTAGCATTTCCCCCAATATGATCATTGTAATTTTCTTCAATGCCATCCATACGTATTTTTCAAATCTGTTGTTCAAATTATAAAGGAAAGAGGGAGAAACATCAAAATGGCATTGTGGGCCAACCTGATTGTTTGCATTGGTGAGTAAATGTAAGTCTGTGCAAAAAGGAGCTTGCACTCAAGAAAGAAGATTCTGGAGCCATTTATTTTGTTCTTTCTTGTTCAGCAAAAATGATCACAAGGAGGATGTGTGCAGGAGGCAGATACTTTTCTTAAACCATTGTTACAGTATGTAAGAGCTTCTTATGAAGCTTTTTTTATCAGTACTCTCCTGATTAGAGAACCCAGAGCAAAGCTGGATCTTTCCCTGTTCTCCCCTTCTGATGTTGTCCTTATGTCCTATCAATAATGTACAAATTTAAACTGGGCAAGGAGTAATAATGTAGTTTAGAAAGATGGCAACTAAGATCAGCACAAAGAAGTTTGGGACAACCACACCATCTAAGCTTCATCACATTGTGGTGTCACTGTAGAAGCTACTGCTGTTCATAATATTTTCTGTCAATTAACTTTACAAAAAATAATAATTGCCCAATACTTTTCATCATTTAGTGAATGGCATTTGATTGATTGATTGATTGATTGATTGATTGACTGATTGATTGATTTAAAATAATTTGAAGTCTAGGTAGAGAAACTATTCTACAAAAGAATATAATTTTTCAGGACTGACTCTATTTAATCCTACTTCTAGACCTAAATGGAAATCTGTTCATTTGTAACATGAGTAGAAATAAACCAGAGGGGACATGACCATGCATGAAACTTTTCCTTGGAGCTGCCTTGCACATGGCTGCCTTGGAGCTCTTTCTGGGTTTAACACAAAAATCTGAAATGGATTTATTATTCAGCTGTCAGCCTCCCAGGTAGACCAGACAGGAAACACGACAGGATGAGCTAATTCTACTTTATTATAAGGCTACATTAACAGAATCTTGCAAGTCTGAAAGTATAAATCTCCAGTCATCTCTTTTTACAGCCTGATGAGTCAGGGCAGATCCTTTCTAAGTTTTTCTGTGCCTGTTATTCAGCTGCAGGGTCCTTCCCCTTTTACCTGATCATTCCCTAGGCACATCTCTTCCCCTCACCTCTCAAGGTCATTCCCACATACCATTACATCAGCTGACCATTCTGTGAAGGCTTCTGGTATGTTTGAACCCTGCCTTATCAGAGTTCCCAATTTTTGAAGATTCATAAGCCTGTTCACTGCATGCCCCTCCAAATCTATTTCAGATCCTCATGACTTGAGAAATCTTCAAGTCAGTTTTCCAGTTTGCATGCATGCCTCTTACTCTTCTTCTGATATAGATCTATTCATATCTCAAAGAAACACCTATATAGATTTTTATATTTGGAAAAATATGTCCAATATATCAAACTTCAGGCAGTGATAATCAATTGCTCAACTGTCATATGTCAAACACTAAGGAAGAGGGTAAAGCTCTGGGGATGGACATGCTAACCATAACCTGTCTCTAAGGGCAAGGGGGGAGGGAGGGAAGAATTAAGGTGGAGCAGAAGGTGGCGTCGAAGTCACCTTCTGACATTCTACCCTGTGTTATAGTGGACAGGAGAAAAATAGCTCAGTTCATCACTAGTGATGCAGATCATGAAGTCATTGGCAGCACAGTGCATGGTGTGCCAACAATCCCACTCCATTTCAGCACTGAAGAAAAATGCCAAGAGTTGTCATGGATCCAGTTCCAGACAGTGCTAGTGAAATTCCCTGTCTGAAACTCTGGTATGCCACTGTCAGTCACAATAACACTCTTGTTCAAATTAAGGCAGGGTCCTATACTTCCAATGCCATTTTCCTCAGTTGTGGCATATGATACACAAAAACTGAAAAAGAATTAACAAAGTATTCTGATAAAATCATAGTGTTTGGGTAAAACGTTGTTGTCTTTCCACTTTCAGTTAGAAGTGTATTACTACATACAGTATAATCATTTTTATATAATTTGTTATATCTGAGCAGTCAAACATTGCTTTGTTGTAACAACATGGTTCTGCGTTCTCTCTCCTTTTGGTCTTTCTTTCTATATTGCTCTTCCAATTTTTGCTTTTCAGGGTCCATACTGTACAATGTAAAATCAACACTTCTTCTGATCAGCTCAAATTGACTAAAATCTGCAACATATTTTCCATTCTGTGAAAGAGAAATCACAGGCAGAAACTCAAAACCCCAGAAGATCTCCTCTGGAATATATGACGTTCGGCTCTGGCAGACAGCACTTGTTGATTCTACTGTGGCATTCAAGAGGATAATGAGTTCAAAATCTTTTTCCTTTAGATTTTGGGGTGTAAGATCACTTAAAGGGCTGCTCTCATCCAATATGTGATAAAAAGTCAGAGGTAGAATCAAGAAAGGGCTTTCTGATGATGAATCTACATGGAATTTGACACTAGCTTGGTTTAGCAGAATCCTTTCTCCTTCTTTGGTTTCATAGGTCTGAAGAAGCTTTCCAGTCAGCTGACACTGAATCAGGAGGCTCTTTCTCATATTTGCTACACGGATCACTAGGCAAAGCTGTCCATTGTGTTTGGTTATGACAGCACAATGACTGAACTTAATGGTCTCAGCTCTTTTTTTAGGTCTAGCAATTTTGGCCAGGAAAGTCCCAGTAATGAAAATCTCAATCAATGTGGTGAGAACTAATTGAGCCACCAAGAGAAAAATGGCATGAGGACACTCCTCAGTGATAACCCGGAAGCCATAACCAATGGTTGTTTGGGACTCCAAAGAAAAGAGAAATGCTCCAGTTAGAGAATCTACATTCATGACACAGGGGACATGTTTGTGAGAGTATTTTCTCTCTTCCAGATCTCCATGAAGAAATGCAATGGCATAGTAAATAACTCCAAACAGAAACCAAGTCATGATGAAAGTAGCAGCAAATAATGTAAGTTTATATCTCCACTTCATGTCAATAACTGTGGTCCACAGGTCTTGAAGATAAAGCAAGTAAATACCATCTACCTTGTCAATCCTGATATTGCTGTGGCCACTTTTGGACATCACACGAGGTTTGTTTCTTTTCATTTTAGCACTGATGCTGCTATTGACTAGCGGGGCTTGTGACATACTGCTCTGTGTTGCTTCCATTACCTGTTCCTCAGACCTAAAGAGAGAGAGGGTAATAGTTACTTTCTAAAAAACAGCCCAATATATTCTGGTAATAGATGCCGAATCTAAAGCATAGAAATTGCATATCATTCACATAGTAAAAAACTATTGAAATTTGTCACCAGCAACATGCAATGTTGTATGGAGTGAACAGAAAGTAATGGAATTGTTTCCTATTTCTATGTCAATATAAGTGATACGTCTTTGCTTTAACAAATCAGTCTATTTACCACGCAGACATTTCTGGTATTTATCATATAAGACAAGAAGAAAATTAATTAATGAACCAAACTTGACCAAACACTCAGGAGATCCATTTCTCATTATTAGATTGATTTACTTTTAATTTCCCAACCTCAACCTCCCCCAATCTGTTCTGTATTCCACTCCATCTGAACATTTTAAATAAGCATTTTGATCATGATTTTCACAAATCATACTCAGCATATAGTTGGGTCACAAGGAAAAGAAAAGCTAGCAGTTTTGTAAGTGCCTAGAATGAAATCTTTGCACCTGAAAATTCTTCATGTTTACATCATGAGCCTCTCCAATGTCAAGACTCAGCAGAAAACAGGAGGTCATTCACAAATTCAGCTTTCTAGCACTAGGGCCCATCCTTTACCAAATACAGAAGGCATTAAATGGGACAAAAAAAAGACACAATATCCAGAACCAGACAGTGGTTACGTAGTGCAAAGCAAGAGCAAGTTAACAGGAGTTTCCAATAACAAAACTTCCTGGACTTCAAAAACAAAAAACAAAAAACCAAACTTGCATCCTTTGTTCTCTGGCAGTTGGTGCTGATAGTATTATTTTGTTCCATTGTTTTGCTTCAGGACAGAACTTTAATAAGTGGCTCATTTTTATGAAGCACAAAGGGGGTGGGGAAAAATACTTGTCCCTGGTGTGACTACTTAAAAGAACATTTCTGGAAACCAAATATGAACATGTAGTAGATATTTCTGCCAGCCCAGGATAACAGTGTAATTATTCATTAGTGCAACTTTCCTGTTTTGTCAGTAGAATATTTATGTTTACACTCATAGCTGAATAACTGCTGGCAGGCTGAAAGTAAATTAACACTTATTTTTACTTTCTTGAACAGCTTACATACCACTCCTGAACTTCAAAACAGCCAAAGGAATTGAAGTTCTCTGTAAGCATGACTGCAAAATCAATATGCACACCCAAACATACACACTGTACAACGTATCCAGATAATAAACAGGAAAAGGAGATTCAAAGCCTTAGTACTGCAGACAAGAACAATAAAGGAAGGGAGAGGGCAACCCATGAGAAATGCTGTTTGGAGAAACTAATATTGCAGACATGAAAAAAGGAAATGCATCTGAAGTAATGACATAAAAATCTTCACAAAGAAAATATTTTAAAAAGTAATGTATGGCACAGCAAATTAAGATAACGCACTGCCAGATTTTGGACAAGGATATATGTCACAGAAAATTCCCAAGGATGAGCTCTTCTGTCTGCTTCCCATGTCTTGTTCTCCCTTGAACTTTGAATTCAGCTGATCATAAGTGACTCACCATTATCAAGTCACTGTACAGATCAGAAAGAATTTCATGGGGTTCATTGTTTTTTATATGACCATCATTCATAAATGTCTTCATAAATGGAAGGCTAAAACTTTGAAATTTATAATTTTTGAAAGTGGGACAATATGAACCTGTCACATTCATCATCTAAGTAGACAGCTTTGAACATTTTGCTCTGAACATTTGTGTGTCTTTCTGAAAGCCACATAGTACTGTCCATACTAGGAATAGCTGGAGGTAGGGAATTTGCCCTGTGTAAATGGATGAAGAATTTAATTGGTATCTTTCAAGAGGAGGTAATAATTACCAAAAATTGCAAATTTCTTTATAAAGTGGGATGGGGGGGGTGTTTATTATTATGGAGAAACTGAAACTGATAAATTCCTCTCTTACTGGGCAAAGGCTATAGATGTCCCTGCTTTGCACTCAGAATATGATGGATTCAAGTTCCTGGTTTTTCAAAATAGGCCTGGAATAGATTGGAGTATAATCCCTAGAGAGCTTCTACCAGTCTGTAGATAATCTAGAATCAGCTGAACCAAGGTAAATGCCTATGTTCATATGTCCTTGGTACATGACTATTAGGGTGCCATTAGAAACTCCTGCACTTCAATTTCTCCAAGGCTAGTTGGCACCACAATATCATGAAACAAGTTTAGAAATAAACACACCAAAACTTTAAAAAGAATCCCCCTCTCCCTTTAATGTCATTATTAAACATGCCTTACATTGCGTTAGGAAGTGATGTCTGCCAAGAAGAAAAAAGTTGCCCTCATTTCTTGAACTCTGATCCAGATGTTATCAGACTGAGATTCAAAGAAGATTTGTAGAGTCTAATTGTAGAGTCTAACCCCTTGAGGGCTATAAATCAGCCCACACTAATCTTTTGAGGTATGTGACAAGTTGGGTGAGGATTTGTGAATTTCCAAGACAAGGCAAAGCATTGTCCCTGGATAGCACTTCAAGTGCTATGGCTTCAGGCTCTCTCTTAAAAATTAAAGAACCTCCCAAGCACCACCAGCCTATCCCTGCAAGACCTACAAAGATAACTGCCTCATTCTCTATCAGTCTTTTCACTCATTCACTCATTCCAGAGGTTTCTCTCTCTCTCTCTCTCTCTCTCTCTCTCTCTCTCTCTC